AATGAATGTTATTGATAATCAACGTATTCTTAATCAATCATCAAATAAATTAGAACCACGACAAGCATAAAAATAAGAAAATTATTTTAATATTCGTAAAATATTTTTATTTTCTTTGATCAAAATGAGATCAATGAAAATGTTTATCGTTTTTGTTTTGTGATCTCTCTTTCTCTTTCTCTCTCTATGTATATATATATATATATATTTGTTTATTCAAATCTATTGTCGTCTTTATTTATCTGTTGTTTGATCAATAAAGAATATCTATTATTGATGAAATAGATACTCTCATAATAATAATAATAATAAATTTTCTATTTATATTTCATTTTATTTATTTTTATTTGTTGATAGATGATCATTGTTTTTCTTATATTGATCTTATTTCATTTGAATATATAATATGAAATTATCATATAAACAAGTATATTATGAATTAGAGAAAAAAAAAAGAATTCTTTTTTTATGATTATTTGACATAAGATATTTGGTTTTGATCTATGTAGAAGATAAATGATATTATATTAATTAATTAAAATATTTTTATTATTTATTTCAATGATAAATTTCTATAATAAAATGTTAGATTTTATTCGCTTCGCTTTAGAGAAATTTTATTTATTTAATGATAATGTTTTATCAAGATATAAATATAAAAAGATTTCGGATAGTTTTTCTAATATTTGATATAAGTATAAAGAATTTTGAAATTTTTATCAGATCGATTTCTTTCAAAAAATGTAAGAAGAAAAAAGAAAAAAAAAATTTTTTTTTTTTAAAAATGATAAAATATTGTTTTCTATTAAATTGATTTCAACAAATCATCTTATTATTCGGTTAATCATATATTAAAAAAAATTCTTATTAAACATTGAACTTATTATAAAATATATAAGATTATTTGTTCAAACATAATTGATAAATTTTCTATGAATTTTCATATTGTTTTCAGTTTTTATAGAAGTGTCTCTATCCGTAGCTTCCTAATTGCGGGCAAAAATTAAGCCAATTAGTGAAAAATGCCCGCTTTTTGGAATGATCGAAATCGAATTGTCTTATTTTTACTGTGTTTCCAAAATGCGGTCACTTTCTAATTAATTAGTAATTGTGAAAGTGGATCATGATTTGTATGTGATTGATAAATATAAAATTGAGAAAGAGCATAACATTTCATTTGATACAATGGATATTAAGTTTACTTGGTCAACTACGCAAAAAGGTGAAAGAGCAATCTTGTATAATAATTATTTATATCGATTAAGACGTGAAAACCAGAATGGTTCGTTCATATATGTTTGCACAGCTAAATCATGTCCTTGTGCTATTACTTTAAAAAACAATGTTATTATTAAAAAAAATAGTACAAATCATAATCATGCTCCAAAATTGACTGAAAATGTAGAAAATGTTTTAAATGAGTTAAAACGTCGCGTATTGACTGATGTTGATCAACCTATAGGTAGAATTTATGAAGAAGAAGTAAAAAGATTTGTGAGTATTTTATCTTTTCACTATATTCTAAAACATTGGCCTAAACTATATAACTTTAGCGGCGCGAAAATGGTTCAGCTGCTGCAATTCCAGTTTTTGAGACTTGGAAATCAAATTTATACAATATTCGTAGATCAGTATTACCTGCAATACCAACTTCAATAGATTCTATTAAAATTCCTCACTGTATGTCATTTACGGATACTAATGAACAATTTTTATTTTGTAATTCAACTACGCCACACAAAATTATTGCATTTGCATCGGAAACAGCATTAAAAATTTTAAGTGAAAATCATCATTGGAATGCTGACGGAACATTCCGTACATCACCGGCATTGTTTAGTCAAGCGTATTATATACATGTCTGGGATGAATACAGTATGAAGCCTATGGTTTACTCATGTTGTCAAGATAAATCCCAACAGACTTATATAAATTTATATCAATCATTAATTCAATACGCAACAACAAAGAATATTACTTTACAGCCAAAATCAATATTAGTTTATTTTGAACGATCTGCAATAAATGCGATTAATGAAGTATTTCCAAGTACAATTGTAAAATGCTGTCATTTTCATTATGCACAAAACATATGGAAAAAGGTTAAAAAGTATGGTTTAAAGCAATTATCAAAAGAAGAACATATTAAAAGACAAATAGCTAATATTATAAGCTTACCTTTAGTACCAAAAAATGAAATAAATAATTTCATGGAACAAATAATTGATGTTTTGTTCAATATTGATAGTAAATTTGATAAATTAACCGATTATATATTAAATACTTATGTCGAAGATCCTTTATTTACATCTAATATATGGAATCATTTCGATTCAATTGGCGAAAGATCGCGTACTAATAACCATTTAGAAGGCTGGCATCGACAATTAAATTCGCGTGTTCGAACACACCCAGATCTTTGGGCATGGTATAATGAAATCAAATCATCAGAAGAATCAGTTATGATTCGCCATGAACAAGAACAAGCGCAAAAGCGTACAACAAGACCAAGAAAAGCGAAAAATATACGTGACGATGAAAAACTTAAATCAGCAAAGACAAAATATATTCAAGATCAAGATTTTAATGCTTATCAAAAAGTCTTACGAAGTATCTCTCATCGATATATAGATGTTTTAAAAGACGCTAAAGATAGTAGTGACGAAGAGTAAAGTTTTTTTTTTCTTCATGTAATAGTTGTATAAATAAATAGATAGATATTTATATAATGATCACATTTTGTTCGTTGATTGTTTCTTAATCAAAAAGTGACCGCATTTTGGAAACACAGTAAAAATGAGACAATTCGATTCCGATCATTCCAAAAAGCGGGCATTTCTCACTAATTGACTTAATTTTTGCCCGCAATTAATACGGAGCCGTAGCCAACAAGCATTAATGAATAAGGCTCATTGATAATGTTAGCAACGGTTTTCAAATTAAAATTATTTTTTCTAGTTGTATGTCGACTTTCCGCTCGTTTTACTATAACTTGTAGGATAAAAATAATTCAATAAGCAGAATAAACTATAAGTTAATGTAGAAAAATAAATCTTTGTTATCAATTTGTATTGATCGGTCAAAGTCTCAATTACAACCGAATCACGAGGGAACATTCCCAGATGCATATTCGCTTTTGAGTCGAGGCTATGCGTATCTTGTAGAACTTGATAAATTATGACTATGATAAAAAAGAGTTCCTGCCCATGGCCTACTGGTGAAGAGTTATGACCATTTTGCTGAAATTTCTACTATGAGCCAGGTAGAGACCTGCACGGAGTTGTTTTCGGAGTCGCCGTCAGAGTCAATTAATTCTTTTGCTGAAAATTTAGTTTTAGCATAAGAATTTTTTTTACTTTTAGGTTTTGTTCTCCGATATTTAATGTATAAATTGGCGCATTTTGAAGATTCCAATGGTATGTTATCAAGGTCAATGAACATGAAAAAAAAGTCGGAGTCAGATTCAACTCCGATTTTTTTTCGACTCCGACTTTCTTTCAGGGTCATTGGTCTTGATAACATGTCATTGGAATCTTCAAAATGAGTCAATTTATACATTAAATATTGGAGAACAAAACTTGCAAGTCAAATTTCTTATGCTAAAACTAAATTTCAGCAAAAGAATTAATTGACTCCGACGGCGACTCGGAAAAAGACTCCATGCAGGTCTCTACTTTCTTATGGTGAACAGCTTTTTGTTTTGAAAATTGAACATCTCGAGAAAGACATGTTTGTTTTTGTTGAAACTCTCACAACTATCTAATGACTATTAAATCCATCTATAGGTAAGATTTCAGATCGAAACTCTTCATTTCGGTTTTTTCCGAAATGCTTGGCTCACAGTAGTTTTCATCCTGCATCTTGTGATATTTTTTGCCTGTTTTATAAAACGTGTTAAATGATGGAAAAAAGTAGGATTCAAATCATGACCATATGTGTGACTCACCTGTTATATTCGTAATATCCAATCAATACTATGCTTTGGTTGTATTCTTTTTCTTTCTATTTCTCCGCTACACTAGTATTATGCCATTAACTATTTTACTCAACGGACGAGATGTTATCTAAGAATAGATGATCTAGCGAGTTATAGCAGAATTTTACTATTTTTGGAGAGCTGTTGATAGTTATCCAACAAAGCAATTCTGTTTCTGCAAGAATCCAGATTCGTCGACAGCTGCACTATATTTCTCTTTTATCTTACATAGAAATGAACAATAAACCATATACTAGGAGTATCACACTAAGATCAAGTTCGTTGGGAATGTTGCAGTAAAAATGAGTAAACTGTAATTTCGAATGATAACGTTCAGAAATTTTGTTTTCTCTTATCTTCCTTGCAAAAAAGAATATGGGGATACACTTATTCGCTGTTAGCAGTGCATGAACGTTTGGAAAACAGTTATAAATATTTTTTCTTACGATGAGAATAGATAGATCAGTCGAGAATTTTTTCAAAGAAAAATAGGTGTTTTATCCAATTCTTGAAGACTTATCTATAAAATAAAAACTTCAATGAAAATATTTGTTAAGTTTGTGATATAGCAAAGTTCTATCGCTCACAATGAAAACAGGCAACTCGATTAATCGTCGGTACTCCACAGTGAAGTGAAAGGTGACGCAAGTTTCTATCAAGGACACATATGTTAACAAATCTATTCTACTCACTTCCATTTATAGATGAAACGATAAAACATAAGCTGCTATTACTTTCTTTCCTTTACGATGTTACGGTAGAACAGAAAGAGCAAAACCTTTTGCCATAGGTATTATATATTTCAACTTTGCTCAAAACAGTAACTTTTGAGTTTCGTACACGGCTGGGTGTGGATCTTGAGGTGCACTTTCTTTTTAGATGTACGCACACTTTTTCGAAAAAATTAGCTGCCGATGGAGATAGCTTTTTGTATAACTCAGGTTATTCCAATTTGGACAGTATGATTTCTGTTTGACAAACATTCCATTTCAAGAAGAAATAAACAGTTTTCATAATTATAAATCAATAATGGGGTTCGTATAGAGCCCAAGAAGTTGTTAATTTGTGAATCATAAAATGGTAGACGAAAAAGTGCAGAATAACTTAAAGAAAAATGATTAATACAACATAAGTAAACAAACATGCGCATATGCAGAGTCATTTATTTGTTCTCATTTTTTAATACGAGTACTTGACCAGCATGACTAATATTGACAGCTACCGGTGTCGGAAGATAGAATGGTTCACCATCCATTTGTGCTGTCATTGGACAACGAAGTTCGATAGACAACCGGCTGCATTGGGCGATTCGATTGCCACGAAAACCAGCATGGATTGCAGCCATATGTGTAGTACTCAATCCGACAACTTCAATTTTTCGATCGCCAAAATTTTGTGGTTGAAAACGACTACTTGAAGCTGTTTGTGTTGTCGATAAACTCTCCGTTTGATCCGTATCACCATCGTCCAAACCTTCTAATTCGTTTTTTTCTTGGGTATCACTTGCACAATTCAATGCATCAAGTGAACCCATCGATATTTGGTTGATAAAAGTACTATCTAATTTAAGAGTCGATAATTGATTGACACGATCCATTATTGAACTTCTCAATGATTTTCCCCATGGATTTGTACCAGATGCATAGCCTGGAATATTGAGTATGACCAATGAGTGACAATTATGTACCGTATCAGTGATATCTTGATCATCGCATATCAAACGAATATAAGAGCCTAAATTCCACATTTGTGCCCGAGCAAAATCATCGAAATACTTGCAACTTTCGTTCACATACATGAATTTATTGTTCAATGGTGACGAAAATTTTGATGGATCACGTGTACGTTCAGCATGAAATTCGAGTGCAATAGCAGCATCTAAGCCAAAGCTCATGTAGTTAATAAAGCGTGTGTTCGGCAATTTCTGATTGTGTTCATACGAGGATCGATTGGTTTCTCGAATGAATTTAGGAGGGCTGAGGAATGGCTGAAATATTCGGCTGATATTGAAACCACTTTCATGATGTTGCTGTGTCATCGAAGCTAATGTTGCCGCATCGAATTCTTCAAGCTGAACTTCCCAACGATCAAGTACAGCAACTTGAGCTTGTGAAGTCTGTAGAAGAGTATGGAAAAGACGTTTCGGATCGTATTGTTCACCCCAAGCCAAGACACGTGAAAGGTCATTGCCTGTTCCCAACGGACAAATGCTTACTGGAGGATTATTTCGAGATGGGTAGATCTCAGCTAGACGGCTAAGAACCCAGCCAACAGTACCATCACCACCGAACACGCAAATACGCATGTTCGGTAGTGAAGAGTAGATATCCAGAGCATGAGTAATTGTAGCATTGTTTTCTAGAAGAAATACTTGACGTGGATTAAGTCTTTGTAAGAGTTCTCGATATATTTTTTCGCCAACTTGACCACCAGAGCGTTTATTTACGAAAACAAGAACAGGCGTATATGGAAATGAGTTTGACTCGGTATTACTGTTGGTTGAATACGAAAATGATCGTGCTTTGAAACCAGTTGGAGATTCACTTGAACGACTGAGCCATTGTGGCCGAACAATAATATTTCTATTGATAAAAATCAAAATATTAATGTCAACTGGTGAAGACAATTGAATAAAATTGTTGTGGATAACATCTAGATGAACTCAAAAATTAGAATGATTTATCTTCTGAACTAAAGGAATTTTTTTGAAAATTTTAAAGAAAACTATCAACGAATACTGGTGGTGGACTTTCAACATGCTCATCAGTTTAACGGAAAATGTTATCGAGAATTTGTATAATCATTAAAATCATGCGAAATTTATCTCTATTTAATCAGAAGAAATATCGTGAGAAACTTACTGAAAGATACCATAATCACATTGAAGCTTATCTTGAGGAGCAAGTTGCTCCCAACACGAATGATGATAACATCGGAAACACCATAAGCACACGAGACCATGTAAAGTGTCCGATAGATCATCACTCAAAGTTCCTGGTATACAACTGATCATCGATTTCATCTGATCGATAATATCTAAGGAAAATACCATAGATGTTGATTGGCAATGCATGCATGGTTTTGGAAGTGTTGACACATGAGACCAAAAATGTTCATCGGATTTCAATGAGTTATCTATGTTATTCGTCAGCGAGTTTCCTTGTTCTATGTTATCGACAAATGATGGACGACACAATTGAATAGAATCGTTGTTTGTCGTTGATGAAGTAGTCAAATGATGTGCATGCATTATCAGATCACATGATTCACATTGTAGAAGTGCGGATTGACCTGTTTGCTTTCGCTTTGTACATGAACCGTAGGCACATGACTGAGCAGCCGATGAATCATCGGATGTAAGAGGAAACCAGCAGTGAGATGAAGGACGAGCACGATCGCTCCAATCGACTCCGTATGGAACGACATTATCGCTACCGGATTCCGATGTTGGTGCATCCATGATGAATTATCTAGGATTTAGACAATAAAGTCAACGCTAAACAGGTCATAAACCTTGAAGTTATAGATCTCTGTGTTCAACATCCAAGAACTATTGAATTCATACGATCTAATAAACTGTATTAATCTGCATCTATTTATCAATGAATTGACACTACTTATTATACGCAATAGACATTGTGTTTATGGCACTTCTTTGCTGACACTACAACTGCGCTTGTGAAGATGATGAAGAGC